GGTGGGTTTGTGCAGGCTCTGGGGAGCCCAGGAGGGGCCGAACGGGTGGGTTTGTACAAAAACCATCCCGGGGAGCCCGGCAGGGGCTGAACGGGTGGGTTTGTGCAGGCTCAGAGGGGCCCAGGAGAGGCTGAACGAGTGGGTTTGTGCAAACACCATCCTGGGGAGCCCGGCAGGGGCTGAACGGGTGGGTTTGTGCAAACTCGGGGGAGCCCACGAGAGGCTGCCCGCGTGGGTTTGTGCAGGCTCAGGGCAGCCCAGGAGGGGCTGGAGCGGCCGGGCAGCGGATGTCGGGGTTAGTCATTCACGTGGGGACAGGAAACCAGCAGCGGGTAACGAGCCCTGGAGGAACCGGGTCCAGCGGCGGCAGCCGCGAGGGGCAGGAGGAGATGGGACAGCCCGGGGAGAGCAGCTGAGCTGTGGGTGAGGTGGGAGAGGGAGGGAGGGAGCGGGAGGGGTGAGGGCTGTGCGGGCAGTGGGGTGTCCCACTGAGCTCAAGGATCCTGGGCTAGACCTTTAAAGAGGGTTCAGGGTCATCCCTGTGAAACCTCTCTGAAAAGCAACGTGCTGGATGTTCCCCCCTCACTGAGAGGCTCCAAGGTAGGAAATTACCAACTCTTATCTTCTCAGCGGCATTTTACCCTTCTGGACCTGAGATGAGTCTGTCCCATACAACCTGGATTCCAGTACTGAATTCCAGTACTGTTCTTTACATCTCCCCCTCCATCTGCTGGTGGCAGCATGGCGGGTTTTTAATTACATTACTTCTGCATTCACATCTGCTAAAATATTCTGGGAGATTCAGTCTGTGCTGAGCTCCTCTCCTCCCAGATCTGCTCGGTCCTGCTTTTGGCTCCTGCTTCTGGGACTGCTGGTCCCCCCCTAAAGCCCAACCCTTTGAAACAGGCTGATTCAAACGACGCTTCCTGGGTTTTCCATGGGTTTCGGGGCTGACTGGCACCGTGGATATGAGTATTTATTTTACTGCATGTGAGTGCTTGAAATTGCCGATCTTAGATGGGAAAAGCTTTGTCTTTGTATCAGTTTTCTCTTGTGATCAATGTTCAGTGTAATATGAGCCATGAGGCAGCTACTTGAGCAGAGGAGGATAATTTTGGGATGATCTTGGGCGAGATTGGCTCATTCTTGTGGCTCTTTAGTGAGGGTTGCCTGTATTGCTAACGTGGCATCCCCTGGGCTCACAGCGGAGGTGAAGGATGGGGAAGTTACAAATATAAGATATTCCTGTGAATTACCTCCTTGTGCTGGCACGTGTGTTGTGATATGGGGTTTGCACTCAATTTTCCACCTGAGGGGTTTTTTTAACGCATTTTCCAATGTGATAATCCGTGTGAAAGTTGGTTTATCAAGTCCAATTTCCCCCTCTTGCCCTGTGTTCTGCTGAAATGCATCTACTGCTCCCCTGGCATAAAATAAACCCTGATTTGCCTGAATAGCTGTGAAAAAAACAGACTTTAACTGTATGGCAGCAGCTTTCCTAAGAAACCTCATGCTGGCATAAATCTGGTAGGAAAGGGGATGTGCAGACCTCTGGAAAGGAGCTTTTCTGGAGGCTCAGCACTGGTCACTGAAGTGGTTCCAGCCACAGGAGCTTCCTTGGTCTGAGACTTTAATTTCTGAATTGATGGGACTTTCTGTGGCAATCTGTACCACACAGGCAAACAGAAAGTAGAGTTTCTTTTCTTAGACATGTTAGAGACATTGAGTCAAGCTGAATATTGCATCTGTTCAACAAGTCAGTGCGCTGAATTTCATATGGCCAGGCTTTAAATACACTCTCCACTTTATATTTCATACCAGTGACTCATCCCACCAGCCTGAATTAGAATTAATTTACTGCAAACTGCTGCAAACCTCAAAACTTTCTGGAGAGGAGGGAAGGTGACTGGTTTATATTTGTCTTTGGGGCATTTTTTGATAAATAAGTTAAATTCATTACATAAACCTGCAACTTGGGTCTTTTATCTTGCCATGTGAACTTGACACCTGCAAAGGGCTAAAATGTCTTAGTGAGAAATCATCTAATGGAAAACTAGACATTGCTGAGGCCACATCAACACATTCCTCGCTCTCCTGGTTTCTCAGCAAAAAGTTTAAGTTTATTTTAAGTGCTCTTGCAGGGTTTTTTTTTTCTTTTTTTGGTGAGTTTTGTGCCTCTTCTGCCGGTGTCGGAAAGTTTCTCAGAGACTTTCCATCCATTAGGAATTTTATTTCTAGCCTGTGCATATCCAGTTCATCCCCACTCATTTTATAAGCCAGAATTGTCTTATTTCAATTCAAGCAGCTTCTCTCACTTTGGTGTGTCGCTCTTGGACACAAGTGTCCGTTTCCTCTCACTCTCCCCTTTAGTGGACTTAAAAGGCCTTTTGATCTTCCTGGATAAAACCACCTCTCCTTCCCTTGGCTCTTGATAGTGAGCCCTGTTATTGGGTTACTTAGGACTAGAGACCTTCCACACCAGCAGCCAGGCTGACGAGACCTGGCACAGAGAGAATGAGCTTTTGCAAGTTCGTTAATGCTTCCCATTTTTTTTAAAAAAAAAAGGCCTGTCTTCTTTATTGCTAAAAATATCTGAGGCCACGGAAGGAACAGCCCCTGTTTGGGAAGGCTTCCCCCTCCCAGGAGAGGTGCCATGGAGGCCACAGCTGGATCCAGACTCCAGTGTATTGCTTTCCCAGGAATTGCTTGTCTGGAGCAGCTGCTCCCAGGGGATTTATGGGCTGTGGTGGTCAGACTGTGCTCACTGCTGGGAGCATGGCCCCACTTGTGCAGGGAGAAAATCCCATGTACACAAAAAGGGGGGAAAACAGGCCAAAGGAGAAGAGGGAAGTGTGTGAACAGCACAGGGCATTGCAGCACTACCCAAATGTCACTCCTGAACTACATGGGAACCTGTTTCCTCCCTGGAAACCTCCCTGGGTTTGGATTTAGCATCTCAAAAGCAAGGCTGGCCAGCCATGAACTCCACGTGTCCTTCTGTGTGGAGATCTCAGTGGCTCGAGTCTATTTATTCTCTCCCTCTCCCCAAGGCAGAGCACAGGGAAGCACGTTCAGCCTTCCAAATATTTTATTTATATCCTGCCAGCCATGAGTAAGTGCTTCCAGCCTTCTGCTTGTCATAAATCTGCTCATCACCTCCTTCTGTCAGCTCCTTACCAGAGCAGGGCTTGTTCCAAAAGAAAGGATTTCCGCGGACCTGGGTGTTTTGGGGAGCACAAGTGACCTCTGGGCTCATTGTGTGACTTGGGAGCTTTCTCCTGGGAGGGATGCTGTGATGGGTTGGGACACACCATGCCCTGCTTGGCAACCCCTCAAATAACCACCTTTGGTGTTCCTGGTGAGTGGGGGGCTCGGGAGCAGCAGGGGGTTGCTGCCTCACTGCCTGCAGAAGAAATACAACTGGCTCTAGAAGGGAGATGGTGGCCTGTCATGCAATGAGACAAACTATGTCAGTGTTGTCAGGGGCCTTCAGCCCTGCCTGGCCTTCACTTTAAAGCAAAAAAGGGGAAAAAAAAGTAAAAAAAAAAAAAGCCCAAAACCCCACAAACAAAGCAGCAGCGTTGCAGCCCTCTGTGTGTTGGCCACCAGCATCGGGTCACCTTCCCTCAGCTGCCTCTGGCAGATGCTTCAGAGATGATCCACAGCTCATGATTTCCGTGGGAGATTCTGAGCCAAGGAAAACTGACGTGAGAAACCACATGGTTTTGACCAGGCTCTGTCCCTGATGTCCCGGCTGTGGCTGAGGGTGATGGTTCTGCACATCCAGGGTGGGTCTGGGCACATTGTTAGTTTAGAAAAACTCGTCCCATCTGGTGCTGAAAGTGCTGCAAGAAACTGTGAGGGGAGAGGCCCCCGGGGGTCTATAAAGAGCAAAGCCATGGTGGAGCGAGTGCCAGGAGCTGAGGGTGTCCTGGGGGCTCAGACAACCTTGGAGGGAGTAGGAATAAACCCAGTTTGCTCCCAGGCAGGGAGAATGGTCTCAAAGCCGAGTTGAGGTCGCTTTTGGGCAGCCAGACTATGTTTGGCAACCACTGAGAGGATGCTGACACCAAACCCCTTCGGCCATTGCTTTTCTCAAGGGTCTGCCTGGAGCAGAAATGGGGGACTTCTTCCCTCTCCTTCTCCTGCCTCACACTGATTTACACCACAATTATTTACACAGTGCCCTGGTAATTAGGACCCTGACATAGGACTAGGACTCCAGTGCCAAACTGGGCCACAAACCTCCCACCAACGTGCTCAGCTGCCGTGCCAAGCACTCGGCAGGGATGGGAGGGTGTTGCTGAGGACCCACAGGCTCAGCTGCCACAGGAGGCTTTGGGTTTTCTTCCATGTGAATGGGGTGTTTTGGGCAGAGAAATGTTATTTATTCCACTTTACACAAGCAGAGGCAGAAGGTTCCGAGCAGGGCAAAATCAAGCTGCTGCTTTCTATTGTCTATTAATGCCATTTGTTTAATTATTTGGAATTATTTTAATTATTAGTGGTTATATATACACACACATATATACATATATGTGTGTATATATACAGTGGCTGTACCAGTATAATCCAGGCTTATGTTGTAATAAGGGAGTTTGAAGGTAGGCAGCAGGAAAACTTCCTGCCAGGAATGATGACATACTGGCCTTTGGCACGTTGAAGCATCTCCATCCCTAGGGAAAAAAGAAGTTTATTAGAAACAAAAATAAATTAAAATAATCTGTAAGTAAAGAAAATCTATCCCTGGGGAATAGGAATGGGCTAAACAGTCTGTCTCAGTGCCAGCAGGCTGTTTGCTGTGATATTTATAGGATGTTTTGTATTTTAAAGGAAGAAGTTGAAGCCAAATCATGCTGATTATTACAAAATGTTAGCTGCTGTTTGTGGAAGAGCCTGTCGTGGAAAGCAGGGGAAGAGCCGGCGGCTGAGCCAGCTCCACGGGGAAAAAAGCGTGGGGAATTTAACACTGGAAGTCACTCTGAGCTGCAGGAAACAGCCAGAGCACGTCGTGCAAAGGCCTTGGCACTTTGAATATCGCCAAGTGCCTCCCTCTTTACCCTCTCTTCGAGATGCTAAAAAATTAGTGTCTGCTGGCAACGTTTGTGGGTTTGGGGGTTGGGAATGAGCGAACCGGAGCCGCGCGGGGAAGGGGCGCTGCCTCTGGAAGTCTCTTGTGCATCCTCAGCAACCCCCCTGGCTCCGTGGGGGTGTGAGGGCAAACAGCAGGTGGCTGTTCGGGGTGAATCTTCCTGAGCAATGGCCTCACAGCCCCACACGCCCCCGATGCTCACGGGGCTCCCCTCCCCGCTGTGTTCCAGGCTGGACGTGGCCGGGATGGTGCAGCCGGAGCTGCTCGGGGCGGCCGCCGCGCTGATGCTGCTCGGGGCGGCCGTCAGCCTCTGCGTCAAGTGCCAGCTCTCTGGTGAGTCTTGCCTGCGGGCTCTGGGATGGCCTTTCCTCTTGGAAAATCCCCCCTGGGTGGGTTTGGTTCTGCTCAGCCACCTGCCAGCTCGGGAGCTTTGCCCCCGCGGGGATGCTCCCAAGAGCTGAGTGGGAATGGGCTCTGCTGGCGGCCGGAGAGCTGGGGAAGGAGCACCCAGAACTGCAGCACCCCTTGCCTGGGGTGGGTGTGACACTGTGGGCTGCAGACCCCTCTCCGTGGTCATCGTGGTGGTGGCTTTGGGACACCCTATCCAGGAGGACCAGCTCCAGATGCACAAATCCTGCAGAGGGTCTGGGGCAGTCTGGAGATAAATTCATATAGAGAGTGGGATGAGCACCCAGTGGGGGTTTGAGCCCCTCCCTGAGCACTGGGTGGGTTGTAGGGTGGGAGAGAGGCTGCAGTTTGGGGTTTAGGGACAGGACTGGCTGCCTTGCTTTGCGGGGTCTGAGACAAACCCAAGGATTTAAACGTGGTTTCAAGAAAATTAATCAAAACCTTATTGTAACTGCTGCTCGCTGCCTCCACTGTCCTGTTGTGTTGGAGAAGTTTTGTGAATGTGTTTTGTTGGTCTTTCTGGTCTCTGACTCCCAAATCTTCTTTCTAAGAGCTTTTTATTTCCTTGTCTTCCAGCTACCAAGAGGGAGATGCGACTGAGTGAGCACAGGAGTCAGTAAGTTGTCTTTCATAATTGTGTTTCTACCGCAAAACAGCTCACCGGGAGTGGGACCCTGGCCAGAGCCAGAGCCAAGCTGAAATCCAGATTTATATAAAATAAAATAAAATAATGCCAGGATGGGGCATGCAGGGCAATGTGCCTCAGCTCAGGGCGCTGCTAAAGGGGTAGTGCCTTTAAAAAGAATAATCCAAAATGAAACTGAAGCTCTGACCGTGATGTCCGTGAGTTATTAACTAGTAGGAAAAAGGTCTGGGAGAGAAGGGCAAGTCCTTATCTTGACCTGTCATGGCCTGAGATGTGGCAGAGAGATTAGTAACTTCATAAAGAAGCCCCTGCCTGTGGCTGGTGCTGGAGGGACCCTGTTCCAGAGCAACCACCGACCTGCAGCACAAGAAATGAAGGAAATGCACTGTACACACATGCACCCCCCCTTATTTCCTTCAGCAACAGACAAACCACAGTAAATTATACAAAGAAAAAGAAAAACTGTGTTGTAGCGTTTTTTACAGGAGCAAACAAGGTGCAAAGGGGCTCTGCAAAGGCCTCAGAGGTGTCGGGATGTTTGTTTCTGTGGTGTGCTCCATCACAGACTGTTGGAGCAGCCAGTCCAGGTTCTGTCCCCCACAGGCTTCATCCCTCGTGGGCTCCTGCTGAACTGCCCCAACTTCTTGTAATTTGTGTCTGGATTAGGTTGTTTGACCTCAGGCTCGTGATGTTGTGTGCTCTTTTCAGAGGTTTGAGTTAGTTGGGGTGTTCTGCAAGCAAAGTGCTTTGATTCCACACATTTGCAGTGAGGTCCTCTGACACCCCATCTCCTGCCAGCCCTGAGCTGTGAATCCTGGCTGGGGATGGGGTGACCCCAATGAAACTGGGGGGGAAAGGCTTCCCAAAATCAGAGTTAATACTAGCAGTAGAAGAGATGTTGAATCCTCTTGTGCTCCGACGAGCAGCTCTCCTCTTAACCAAGAAATAAAGAGGTTTCTGGGCATGGGTGTTATTTTTATTGTTGATAACATGTTATTTTTTTCAGGTTGATGTTAAGGGATGCTGAGAGGGCAGGGGCAGCAGTGGAGGTGAAACAATGGGGTTTGAAACCATTTCATAGATGAACACTCATTTTTTCTGTGGGTAATAAGGCTCTTCTGGCCTTAACTGGTGGATAAAGAGTCAGAGTAGGAATTATCCTAAATGATGTTTTCCTCATCCCTGTGTCCTTCCCTTAGCTGATGTTGGCTACTCTACCAATGGTCCAAAAGCACATCTTGACTTTAAAGGGTCAGTGAGGAGTCTGGGATACTGCTCCCAGCTCATACTGGTCCTGCACGTTGGCACTTCACCAAGCCCAGCACGGAGTTTGTGCTCTCTGTCCTCCACTCACGAAACAACGAGGTCTCTTGCATCTCTTTTCCTTGTCATCAACTCCAAAATTCAGCTGAGGTTGTACTGCTCTTTTTTCCAGGCTTGAAAGCCAGCAGAGGTTTGAGGTGATTCGATCCCATTCCAGTGAGTATCAGCATTGTACGGGGCTTCTGCCTCGTGGGGTGAGGGTCCTGCATGCACAGAAGAGGGAGAAAGTAAAATTCAAGGGGTCACCTTGACACCAGGCAGTGAAATGATGAGACCTGGATTGTCAAAGCCACCTTAGATGCTTCTAGGGATGCAAATTCTGAGCTCTAGGGAAAAAATTTCCCTTTGCATTGAAAACAGTTCACTAAAGCGATCAAGTTGAAAAGCAACACCTCAATAACTGGGGCTCTTCGAACCACACTGTGCACCCTGTGAAAATGAAGGTGTGGGTGAGCCTGAAGTGATAGGAGTGACTCATTCATCATCCCCCCTCACTGCTTCCTGCAGCAGGCTGGGTTTGGTGCTGACCTTTTGAGTTCTGTATCACAACGAGCTGCTGCCGGGTCTGTGCGAAGCGTCACCGTCTGCAGATGAGCCCTGCCCTGGGTCCCTGCTGGGTTGGAGCCCCATAACCCCCCTATGAGTCTTTGCTTCAGCCCAGCCCAACCAAAGCTCATGATTTGCAGCATGAAGAGCAGGGAATGGCCCCCAAATCGAGCAGGTTTTGGGGAGAGCAGACAACAAGGCAGCAGCTGGGATTGTAGCTTCCCCCAGCGAGTGTTTGCTCTGTGGTCAGACACCAGCTTTTCCTCTGGTTGTTTCCTGTTTTGGCCATTTGTGAACATTCAAGGACCAATTTGGAAGTTATTTTGGGATGCATTAGGAAAATGCCTGCCAGTCCTGGGGAACCCTCACTGGTGGATGCTCTGTGCTCCTTGAAAAATCTGCTGCTGCCATAATAATTAACACCCATTTTGTTCTTGGTGCCAGGTGCAACCCGAAGGCTGGAAAAAACTAAGGGACCTGAAAACTTATCAATAGCAAGGTAGGTAAAAAACCCAAACAGTCTAACTGTAGAGCCAAGGTTGGATGAAATTCACCCAAGATACATAAATGTTTGGGATTTGGGATTGGGCTCTGAGCCCTGGAGATGTGGCTTGGGCTGTGCTTAGAATTAAAGAATGCTTTGGGTTGGAAGTGACCTTTAAAGGCCATGTAGTCCAACGCCCCTGCAAGGAGCAGGGACATCTTCAACTCAATCAGGCTGCTTCATTTATCAGTGGTCAGTGGTAGCTGTAGACTTTTTCTGGAGTATCTCCAGTCTCACTGCATTCTTCTGGCAAGCAATTGAATCAAACCCAAGGAAACAAGCTGTGGCTGTACATAGTAGGAACATCAGGAAAAGGAAATGGCCTTTCTTTGCTTACAAAATTTGATGTGATAAATCCACTTCTCCCCATCACTTAAAGCTCCAAGAACCACATAGTTGCAGTAACTCTGCTGCAATATTCAGGCCTAGTTATTCCCATTTTGGGATTTGACCCGAAATTCCTTCCTCTGCCATTGCTCCATGTGTGTGCTGTGATAACCTCACAGGGAGCTTTTATGGATGGTCCTTCTGGTGGTTTATAACCCCTGGTAGGGTTTGCTCAGACCTGGGATTTTAGGTCTCTTTTGTCTCCTTCAGGAAAACTACCGAGCAGCTCAGTGCTTCCCACCACGCTGGATACGGTGAGTGTGTCCCTGGGAGAGGCTCAGGTTCAGTCACAGAATGGTTTGGGTTGGAAGGGACCTTTCAAGTTAATCATCTTGTTCCAACCCCCTGCCATAGTCAGGGACACCTTCCACTAGCCCAGGTTGCTCCAAGCCCCGTCCAACCTGGCCTTGGACACTTCCAGGGATGGGGCAGCCACAGCTTCTCTGGGCAACCTGTGCCAGGGCCTCCCCATCCTCCCAGGGAAGAGTTTCTTCCCAATATCCCATCTAACCCTGCCCTCTGGCAGTGAGAAGCCATTCCCCCTTGTCCTGTCCCTCCATTCCTTGTCCCCAGTCCCTCTCCAGCTCTCCTGGAGTCCCTTTAGGCCCTGGAAGGGGCTCTCAGGTCTCCCTGGAGCCTTCTCTTCTCCAGGTGAACACCTCCAGTTCTCCCAGCCTGGCTCCAGAGCAGAGGGGCTCCAGTCCTTGGAACATCTCCATGGCCTCCTCTGGGCTTGCTCCAACAGGTCCACATCCATCTTATGTTGGGGGCCCTGAGTTGGACCATCTGGGTTTAACCTGGGTCCAAGTTTAAAATCCAGTGCTCATCCTGCTATGCCTGACCAGTCCTGGCTAGATCCATGGGGACAGACTGTTTAAATATCACCCTTGGCTGTCCCAACACACCCTGGACTGTCCAGGGTAGGGGTGTCAGAGCTCAGAGCTGAGTGAGGGCAGAGCTGCCGGTGCCGAAACGTTCGGTTGCTTCATCCTCAAACTGCTCCCATCACTCCCCCTGAGCCCAAGGGTAACGTGCCCCTCTCTTGCCCCCAGGGAGCAGGGATGAGTCCAGGTACCAGAATTTCCTGACAGGTAAATGCTGCAGCCACACATCTGGGGGCTTTGGGAGGGAAGGCTGCCGTGGGGATGGGAGCTTCCCGAGGATGGGAGCCAGCAGGGAGCACACAGGCAGCCAGCACTGCAGCTGGCAGAGCTGCTGCTTGGTCAATTTAGAGATTGCTTTGTAAGACACAACTTGATCTGATTAACGGGCAGAGCGGAGGGGACGGATGCTCCCGAGCCCCCTGCTCCCACCCGGGGCACTGTGAGCTGGCGCCTGCCCTAAGAGGATTATTGGTGTGGGGGGCTGTGCTCTCCTTTCCCAAGCCATGGAGGATATTCCCATATTCCCCTTCTCCCTGCCAGCTGGCAGGATGTGTCCATGAGAAGTGGTGAGCCGGGGTTTTCTCAGGGCGTGGGGTGGATTGGGGCCGTCTCCCCCTGCTCCAGCCCCCTGGCTCTGCTGTGGACGGGCTCTGGGGCCATGCCAGGGCTTTGTGGCTGCTGGGGACATGTGCTGTGGCTGTGCTCCAGGGGTTTGTCAGGCTGTGCTCGGGGATGGCAGTTTGGTTGATGCCCTGGTGTGGGGTGCTGACACCAAACCCTTGTTCTTGCAGAGGATTATCTGCAAGGGGACTCTGACTACGTGTAAGTACCCGGGGCTGCCCACCAGCACGACTGAGTGGAGCCATACTGGTCCCATAGCTCGGCCTGGGGAGCCTGTGGGTGCCCTGGGGCAGGAGGAGCTGACAATGCTGCTCTTCCCACAGGGAGCCCATTTCTCTGGATTACAACAACCATGCCAGGTTCTTCACTCGACCCAAGGGTAGGTCTCCAGGGTAGCCAGGTGGGTTTTCCTCCATGGGCTGTCCCATGGCTCCAGGGAGCTCGTGAGACTGTTCTTGCCCAGGTCTGTGCATCACTGTGTGTGGCCTGAAGCAAGAGCAGATCCAGGAGACACGTTCTTTAAAGGGTGTAGCAGAGCCATGGGGCATAAGGGATGTCCAAGCCCCCATCAGTCCATCTGTTGCCTTACAAACAGGGTCACCCCACTGCACTGGTGACAGTGCTCCTGTGGGACAGTGACCCCTGGGCTCATCTGTGCTGGGACACCCCATCCCTGGCTCAGCACAGGCCATCACAAGGACTAATGACTTTTTAGCCAATTTGTGTTTCATTGTGGTAAACAGCCCCCTCCTGCAGGTGCTGAGGGGTCTTCCCAGGTCACTTGCACTTCATTAAGTCCCTTGTCTCCCCTCTTTCTTCCCTCCACCAGAGAAAGAGGAAGATTCCTATTCCTATGAAAATGTCATCATTGGAGCGTCTCGCGGCTCTGACCCGGGTAGGTGTGTTGCCATCACAGTTCATGTGTGTCCCACAAAGGTATCTGGAGGTGCAGAGGGGGGTGGTGACCTGCTCAGCTGAGGGAAACCCTGTCCTTTTCAGGCTCAACTCCTCCTGTCAGCTCTGTGCCGTGGACTTGGGGAGCCAGGGCTGCTGCAGGCACAGAGCATTTCCCCCTTCTGCGGGAAAATGCGTGTGGTGATACCTCCAAACTGATTCCTTTGACTTGGGGTTTCTGTGGGAATCCAGGAACTTTGGGATCTGCATCTTCTCTAGGTTTTTAGTGTTGCTACAGCCAGGCTGATCATGGCTCTAGCCCCCAGCTCAGGTTTCTCACCATGTCCTGCCCAAGAAGCTGCTGGAGGATGATGTTGGACCACAGTGTCTGCTTCAGGGCTTCCAGCACCAGTCCTGGGAGGTTGCAATCAAAATAGGAAGTCAGTTTGGTTTCCTTCAGCGAATTAACACATGCTCTGTGCACTGCTAAAGCCTGCCCTGCTCCTGCCTGGCTGTGCACGGAGCGATTGGAGGAGGCAGGAGCAGCGGGGACCCGTCTGATCCCCATCCGTGCCTGCAGTGATCCAGGCACGTGGCCAGGGCTGGAAAGAGATGAGGCAGCATCAGCAGGTCTGGCTGGAAACAGCGCCGTGCTCGGCGCGGTCGGGGCGCGGCGGCGGGAGCGGGGCTTTCACAGAGGGCCGTTTTTAGGCCATTTGCTGTTCAGCATCATCCTGTCCAAACTCTCCTTAGTCACAGATGAGGCTGCAGACTATGAGAACAGCGAGGCCATGCACACATGGAAGCTGCAGCAAGAGGAAGGTACGTTGTCAGCACTTGTTTGCTGTTTGGGGATGGGATTCGTGGGCAGGGTGCCTGGTGCCCTAGAACAGCACAGACCATGCCAGGGCAATGCATTGCCTGTCTTGAACAATTTTATTTCAGCTATCCATGATATACATCCAAGGCAATGTGCAGACTGCTACAAACTCTTGTATCTGAATGCTGCTGTGATGGGACGTGGTGTTTCTCATACTCACAGGGCCACCATGGAGGTGGCTGTGTCCAAACCCTGACAATGTTGCTCTTCATGTCTTATATCCTCTTCCATTTGAAGTTGCCCTGGTGCAAGCACAGCTGTGTAACCCCCTCTGACAAAGAATTAGACAGCACACACGCAGGGGGTCAGCCCTGCTGTGTTTGAGGTGCCTCCTGCTGTGTTTGAGGTGCCTGTTTCTCAAGCTGACCTTTTAACCACAGTTTAATCTAACGTGTGGCTTCCTGTGAGGCCTGGGGGGTAGCCTGGCCTGGGAGATAGTGGTGAGTGCACACAGGTACAGGTACATTTTGAGAGCTTTCTGTCTCTGGTGTGAGAGCTGCCTAAACCGATTCTTGTTATCCTGTTTGCACACTCTCTAGATTAAATGTAAGTCCATCCCTTTGTGCTCTGAAGAGCTGTCCAGGCTCGCTGCTTCCAGAGTGTTTACAAATTTGCTGTGACCACTTTGAAGCCTCTTCAAGGAGACCTTGACACTGATCTGAGGTTTCTTAGCCCAGGCACAAAAACATGTCAGCACCAAAGGCTGGACACACAGAGTGTCTGGGGGGTGTTGTGTGTGTTTTTACATCAGCCCACTCACTGATCAGTGGTTTCCATTCTCGCCTGCAGCCCTGCAGAGAGAGAGCCCAGATGAGGAGCCAGTCTACATCAACACAGCTCCTGCATCAGTCCCTTTCCTGCTGTCAAAGCAAAGGTAAAAACAGAGCAAATGGTTGACGTGTTTACGTAGGGGTGAGAGGAGTGGGTTTATGATGTTTATGTAGGGGTGGGAGGATTGGGTTTATGGTGTTTATTTAGGGGTGGGAGGATTGGGTTTATGAGAAAGGGAGCTTGGCTGGAGCCCAAGCCCAGCAGCCCATGTGGGCAGTGGGGGAGCAGGAGGAGCCCATCCTGTGCTGTGCCACATCTTTGGCTGATGCCAATCTGACTCATGTGGACTGTGGAGACAAATTTGTTGAATCCATGTCCTACATGCTGTGGACCCCTCATGGTCTGTGCAGCTCTGAGGCTCAGCAGTGTAAGGGATGCCCTGGGCTCAGCCAAGCCCTGTCTGCTGTGCTAAGACCACATGTCCTGCCCCATTATCAGCACCAAACTGATGCTGCTGATAAAGAATTCTTTAGTAATTCTTTAGTAATTACTCAAGGCAGATAAAGTAAAACCCCTTGGAGAGCTGCAGAGAGGTTGCATGACACTGAGTGACAGTGTATGACCTATTGGTTAGTGCTGGTCACCCTGCTCCAGACTGGACTAGGACTCCAGCTGGGAGACAGACTGGGACCAGTATTGCTCTCCCTGTCAGGATTTTACTCTGGGAGCACCCACAAAGACCCAGTGGGATTGTCCTTACAACAATGCCTCTGTTGTAGCCTTTCCTAGCAGAGTGAAGTTGTAAAATCCCCACATCCAACCAACAAATGCCAGCAGAACTTTTCCACCAAGGGAGGCTGAATTCAGAAATGGGCTCTTGGCACCTCTGTGCCCCTTGTTCTACTCAGACACAACTGGGGCTTTTGCTTAGACATGGACATCTTGTAGTGTACGTCACTACTTGTCCCTGGAAAGAAAACATAGCAGGCAGCAGAGTTAAACTGAAAACAGGGGTTAAAAGTCAGAGAACTCACTGTTTTTTTTCCCCTCTTATTTCAAGTATTCTGCATAAAGTCTGAAGAAATCCTTGGCTGAGCTGTAGGAGCTCACCCAGCGAGCACGCACAGGGGGAGAGGGGAGATTTCCAGCCCTCAGTGAAATCTCTTCTCCAAATTGTGCCCACAATCACATAGAAGGGATGTTACTGAAAGGAAGAAATGCTCTGCTTGAAGGCCCACAGAAGTCCCAACTGCAAACCTGCAACTGGAGAAAGCGCTCTGCCCACAGGGACCACGGGCAGGCCCCCACCTCATCATCCCACCTCATTTCCCTGCAGGTCCACTCGAGGGAGGGTGGCCAGTCTGTGCAGTGTTTTCTCCTGTCAAGCATGAAGTGAATCCTTAAATTGCTGAGCAGTAATGCAGCCAGTTACTTAATTTGTCAGGGTGACTCATGCACGATGGTACTAAGCCTTAGGGATTATGTTCTGATGTAGTTCCTGTGCTGTCCTATAGAAGCAGTTTCCTACAAGAGAGGAATTGGCAAGGCAGAGGTTGTATTTACAACAGCAGTAGTTCTGTGGAGCTCAATGAGATACCAACCTGTTCACAAAAGCTAAAGAGGATTAAATCCCTGCCTTATCCACAGCTTGTGATTCACAGTGTTGATCTGTGGCAGTTTTCCTCGTGTTTCAGTATCTGTTTCATAACGATACAAAGAACCAGCAGCAACTGAGAGGGTCAGATCCACAGCCAGCAGCCTCAGACACTGCACCAGTCCCTCGGCAGGGCTGTAGGAACATCAGCCCTGAAACAGGACCCCAGTCTCCTGAGCCCTGATGCACAGATCTGGCACTTTTGGACCACTTATTTATTAAAATTGAAAAGCTTCCAAAGAAAATGTGGTGCTTTGTTGTGGTTTGCTGTGATGCAGATGTTGTCTGCACAGTTGGGTGACGCTGAAATGGGAGCACATGAGGTGACACAGAGTGATGTGCAGGATCTTCTGGGGAGAAAATGTCACTCCCTAAAAGCCACCTTCCTAGAAACTGATTCAGGAAACTGTGCTTTGGCAAAGAACACAGCCCACACTCACCTCTTTGGGATGGTAAGAGTGAGCAGAGAAGGGGAGCTGAGGGTGAGCGAGCCCTGGAGCGGGAGAAGGGATGTCAGGTGCTTCCTGCTGCAAATGACTTGGCTCTATTTTTAGCAGAATCGACAAGACCACAGGTGTCCACTGCTGGTGTAGCTGAAACAGTGGGTGGGTTGGAGTTTGGCTTAGGAGAAGCTTTACTTGTAGCTCCTACAAATGCTAGAAGTCTCCACGGAACTTTTACAACAGAGAGAGCCTGGTGCATTCAGGGATGCACAGGGGCAGGGAGCTACAGCCTGTTTTTCTGCCTGCCCCAGCCCAGTTTGTACTCACACCCTTGGGTTTCCTGAAGGGTAAATGCTCTGCAAAAAGTCTGCACAGGTGGGTGACACCAGGGTTCCCTGAGCCTGGAGCAGACACAGTGACAGCCACAGCCTGTGCTGGCTCTGCAGAGGCTCACAGGCAAGCAAGGGAACAAGGAGGTGCCTTTGTGACTGAAACTGTGCCTGGGCCTCAGAGAGCCTTGAAACTGTTACCCTGGGTGCATCCTTGGTGACTAACTCAGCACTCAAAGAAGCTCCCACTTCCCATGAAGTGCTGCAGACTGTGGATTGTTCGCTGCAGAAGAGGGGTGAGCTCGTTCTCGGGGATGTGTGGTGATACACCCGCTGGTGATTCATCTCCCAGCCCAGAGAGCCATTCATGATTAAGAGATTAGCAGCAGTGAAAGATCCTCGGCTCACAGCAACAGATCCAGCTGGAGAGCTCCCAGAAGCTTCAAGGTGCTCGGTGAGTGCATGGCCAAAATATGGAAGTACAAGATTTACTGCTCATCACTAAGCAGGGAGGTGGGTTACTCCAAATACATTTTCCTGGTCCGAGTTTGAAAGTTGTGGAGCCAAAGTGAGCAGGGCAGGAGCTGGATGTGGGGAACCTTCCCTTCACTTACTGGGGGTCTGAGCAAATGCCCCGTTACAGCTCTCCAGAGCAGTCAGCTGCAGTGAGGGATAAATCCATCCTTAGCTTTGAAAAGCTCCTACAGCACTTCTCAGCCAGTCATCTCATTACACTGGAAGGTATCCAGGGACAGTTCTAGGAACTCTCATTGATGTTCTTAGTCTTGCTCTGAATCACCTCACAGTTTTTCTTTGCATTGAGTATATACGTGTGAGTGTGTTCACTGACACATTGTCTTTTCAGGACTGGCCTTAGGTGTGCAAGGGTTTCTGGTGCTCAACCAAAACTGCCAGATCCTGTGTTGCCTGAACATAATGCAAGGAGAAATGACATCTCCCCTGGGCCCACCTCTCTCTTTCCTCACATTAGGGAGGGCAGCCAAGTGAGCAATTCACTTCCTGTTTTCAATTTAAGATGCATTAGAGAAGTGTTTTGGCACGGCTGGTGTGGCTCTCAAACGGAGCAGGGGAGCCTGTGCTGGCCCTGGGAAACATCGGCTCTGCACTCAGAGAGGGAGCAGACACCTTTGGAGAGCAGTGTTGGTGGCCTCTGGGACTGATCCTATTCCTCTTCTCAGGAAAGATGTCCTATGTCCCCCCACAGCTGGAAAGGATTAGCCCAGAGGAGAGTCTGCTCCAAACTGGAGCTGTGAAAAGCAGCTACTTAACATGGTTGAGAAACCCACAGAAACCAGGTAGGAACAGGAACCATGACCCTCCATGTTCCTCACCCTTCCACTGGCTCCAACACCACAGGCAGGTACATCCCACAGGGTAAGGACCAGCCTTGAGTCCTCCAAATACAGTGTTTGCTGTTTGATGAAACTTCCCCATAACACCTCTTCCTTCCCCAGTCAGCAATAAGCACATTTAGTGAGAAAGCAAAGGCAGAGAAGGCTGGCTGTGATGTGCAGCCAAAGGAAAATTAACCTCATTTAAGTTTTAGGGACAAAAGCTGTGATGCTGGGTCTGTAGAGAACTCAGCAACCTAAGCCCCTTCATACTAAACTATTAGTTGTGTGTTTAACAGAGTTTGTGCTGGTAGTGACAATTCACTGGCTGGGAAGTCAGTGAAGGAAGAATATACTTTGAGCATTACATCCATTATTCCCAGAGCTGTTTGCTGCATTCCCTGTGCTTTAGCTGCCAATTCCCTTGCTCTCCTGCAAGCTGAATTACAAAGGTTTGTCTGCAGGCTCTGCCAGAGGCGCTGCAGGAAGCCTGGAGGGGCAACTTGTGATGCCACCAGCTCTTGCTGCAGGAACTTGTGAGCCCTGTGGCTGTCAGAGAAGGGCAGGGTGTGCCCAGCCCCTGCAGAGACCAGTGCCCGCAGTGATGCCAACTGATGTTGCCCGTGAAGATCCATTTGGCACCGAGACAACTGCAGAGAGGAACTGAACACTTGGGGTGGAAATCAACACAATGAGCAGGGTGAAGTGCAGGCACCAGCAGCTTGTCCCTCTGCCCTGTTCTGTGTGACTGCTGTAACCAGAACATGCTTCATTATGTTAACACGGCTCTGCTTGGAGACGCACGTCGCTCAGGGAGAGGGTCAAATTCAATTTCTGTTTGCTTTCTCTCTGCTTTTCACGCTTCATTGCTCATCTGCACTGCTAAGGTGTTTCCAAAATGGAACAGAGAGGAAAACGTGATGGTGTAGCTTTTTGGCAGGCTGAAACTCTTGTAAAGTGACACTGCATAACCCGACAAGCAAGAACAGAAAGGGGAACTCACATGCAGAGCATCCCATAATTTGGTAAAGTTTTTTAAAGATTGCAAAAGGAATATCCAAAATACATAGTTGGCACCATAAAGAAATGTGGAATATTTCTCCTGTGTGTTTGGTGAAAATACCTTCCCCACCCACAGGACCCAGGAGCGGCACCTGCTCAGTGTGTCTCAATTATAATTACATTAAATGCCCTATTTTGTGCAAATAGGGCACAAAATAGATTGAGATAAGACCACCAGGCTTGAAGTGTAATTCCTAACCATGATATTCCATTTTTGTTTCTCCTGCTATTAGGTCCCAGTACCATGGAAATGGGCAGTTTTGCTGAGTGCACTGAGCAGACCTTATTGCTCTGGGCTGTCACAGTCCTCATGTCTACCTTGGTGACACAACACAGACAAGTTCTCGGGTTAAAGCCGATTTTAAAGCTTTATTGGTCTAAATAAAAAAGTACAGAACGTTTTTACAATAGAACTGGTCATTTTTCTGTGATTTAGCAGAACCAGGGAACAGACCCACACCAGGTTTTCCTCCCCTGGCAGTTGGGCTGGGCTCAGGGAGGGGCCTAACTGGCTGCAGGGGCTGCAGTCTTCTGACACAGCCGGGCCAGCAGCCCAGCCATTTGTAAAAGGGAGTTCACACCTTCTGCAATCTTCATGTGAGTGTACCCGATTTCCTGGTGATAGAGACATTGTCAAACCTTCTGTTTGCTCCCCCAGCCTGTGGATATTTTAACTAACGACTAAATAGAACATATCCCTCACTGCTAAGAGATGGGCTTTGAGTCACTTGAACTTCAGACAACGTATCTCTGCCTACAAACCAACTAGAATGCCCCTTTTTTTTTGAAGTCAAAGCCTGTATTTCCCCACTTCCTTTCTAAGAAGCAGGATGCACACATCTGAGGACAGGTTTCAATTATGAAGAGTGATTCCATATCACTACTTTACCCTCTGTCAACTGTCTGTTCATATAATTTAATATTTTAGTATCTATTGGACTAGAATCAAGTGTGCCCTTGAAGAACATTCTCAAGGTGTTGAGGCTTTGAACTAAATAATAAAGTCAGCAATACATCTGCTATTAATTCTTAGTGATCACTTCTGGCACTTCTGTGGGTGATCAGATGTTAAATCAGATGTCACTCCAAGTGACCAGTCTTACTGACAAACTGATGATGCAGAGTGGCCAAGAAAGCAGCAATGAGTGAAGAAATATTTTCTTTGTGCTAATATACAGCAAACCTCAAAGAGAAACCCCTGAGGCTGCCCCCTGATCTCTTCTTAAAAAGGCCCCAAAGGCCCTGCAGGAGCTGGGTTAGTACTAACCTTGATAAATTCCAGTTTCAGATATTCTGGCATCGGAAAGGTTTTACACACACGGAAGATGTTGCCAATAACATCTTCTGGAGCGTATCCAAGACGCCACAGGTGGGCAAGGATCTGTGCAGGCAAGAATAATCCCTCATTCATCTGCAGAACTTATCAGGTGAGTCAAGGATATTCACTTTTGGAACAGTAACTACTGGAACTGCATGTACTACTTATATCAGCTGATTTAACCTCAAATGTTTAGCAAGTAATTTCAATACAACTTCCTTTTTTGCTTGTTGGCTTATTTATCTGAACAAACCCCTGCACAAACTCAACCCATCTTCTTCAACTCCTCTACATGGTAATGCCCTTATCTTAAAAAAAACAACACACATTGTGAATTCTTCAAAACAAACAAGAATTCTGTAAAGAAAAAGTGTCTGTCTATGCCAACACACGAAAACCAACCTTGTATGCTTCATCAATATTTGCATTTATGCAGTGCTGTATCATTTCTTTCACAAGCAGAGGATGAGGCTCATCACATACCTGTATCAAAGAGAAATATTATCCTTAAAATATTAGAGGACTCTGCATTAAACCTCTGGTATTTTCACCAAGCTTCTATAAAGGTGAAGTATTTAATCAGACACATTCTATAATACAGATTAAATTTTAAGTAATATGACTTTTCAGCTATTCTGCCATAGCAGACTCGACAGAACGAAATGAGAACACCCAAGGAATAAATTCCCTATTTATCAGTGTGAAATCTCCCAGCAGTTCTGTGATTTGTGTGCTTTGAGACAGCTGCAAAACCACCAAGTCTCAGAGGTGCCATTAGGGACACCTTTTCAAAAGGCACATGGGCTTCTTGATGGCCTAATGCTGTCATTGCTACACAGTGGGCTGTCTGCAAACTGGCAAAGCACTTTCAAAGACTTCTGTATCCCATGGAAGATCTCACACAGGTGTAGGGCCAAACTCCTGGCATCACTGTTTTCAGCTATTACTGACCTTAAAGACATTCTCACTGTTTATAAAGCCAAATCCAGAGTGGGTGGACTGTAAGTTGTTTAATGCCTGTGAAAGGAAAAAAAAAAAGACTTATTTTCTGAAGTGCTCTACTTGTCACTCCCCTCCTCAGGATGAGGTGCACTTCAGAAAATGATGCCAAATAAGCACTTTTCAATTAAGCAACAGAATAAATCAGAAATTTGTGCAGACTTGGTTTCCTCTCACAAATTTGGTATCCAGTCCCCATCAAATAATTTTTAAGGAGCAGATCCATTTTTTAAAACCTCACAAAACCAAATAGTTTAGTTACTCTTGAGCCACAAGTCACATCCCCTTTGCTTTACCTCTTCAGAGATAAATCCCTGAGAGCCACAATTCACAGGTCTTTTGCTTTAAACAGAAGCTTTTTTTCATTGCCTTTCTCTTCTTACCTGTCTCATATCTCCTTGGGCTGTGAAGATAATGGCTTCTAGTCCATCATCTGTATATGGTACATCCTCCTTCTCAACAATTTTGAGTAGCCTGGCAAGGATTTGTGCATCTGTCAGCTTGGTGTAACGCAGCACTGCACACCGGGACTGGATGGGTTCTGAGGGCAGGGATGTGTAATTAGCATTTCCCTCTTTTCTCAAAAAACCCCCCCAGCCAAACATTTATTTTAATCTCAGGAAAAGCTTTCTCAGTTGCATCAATTACTTTGTCTTCTTTTAAAGAAAAAGAAGATGTTAGCTCCGAAGAGAATAAGGCATCTCCTTAAGCACATACAATTTTTTACAGTCCTTCCCTAGAGCCCAAATGTGCTACTTGAGTTTTTCCAAATATACACAAAGCTCAACTTCCTCTATTCTCCTGGATTTCTGAATGTAGATGTTTATCATGTTATTTTAACAGAAGTCTAAAGGTCTACAATGTGTTCACCTATAAGCAAACTTAAGATTGTGTTTAAGAAAAGACAACAAAAGGGTTCAATACCCAATAAACAATCCATCAAACACCTTAAACTGGTGCAGAGTTGGATGGAGATTGAGCCCAAAGGATGAGAAATCTGCTTCTGCAATCATGTATAGCACTATCCATCAAAACCAGCTGCTCAGAGGGTTCCCTGGCCACCCTTTTATCAGCTGATGTACAGGTGGTTCGATTTTACAGAAGTACCACGGCTTCTTGCAACGAGCAGATCCAAGATATTTCTGGAAACTGCCTGGGAAGTCAGCCAACAGTGTGGAGAACATATGACCAGGACACCCAGGGCCCAGCAGCACTTTACCTATGATTTTGTCAGAGGCGTTGCAGGCGAGGGCGAAGCGCGTCGTTTTGGAATAGATTTCCATTGTCCTTCTCAAGGCTTGCTGTGCTCCATCTGTCATGCTGGGGGGAGAAAAGGATGGATTCTGCCCTTCATTGACTCATGGGTGCAGCCTAATAACTATTTTTATACGAGCTTTAGAGTTTACTGATGTTAAACTGTGCTTTGTATATTAACTGATATTCTGGCTCAATGAACTGAACAGCTTTTTCTAGTCATGTGAACAAACCACCCCACAACGCAGGGAAGTCACCGAGACCTCCACAACACTGACATGCAAAATTAAATCATTAATGCTCTGAAGAACACTGCTAAGAATACTGATACTTCATGCAGGAGGAGGAGGAGAATGTCCCGTTTTCATCCAGTGAAATTCTCTAGTGAGCCAGACTCTTTTCAAAGGAAAAGAATACCGGAATTCTGGACTGGTTTGAGTTGGAAGGGACCTTAATGCTCATCTTGTTCCGACCCCCTGCCATAGGCAGGGACACCTTCCACTAGACCAGGTTGCTCAAAGTCCCATCCAACCTGGCCTTGAACACTTCCAGGGATGGGACATCTTTCCATTAAACTGGAATATGCTGTTTGATACCCAAAGCGTTTCACCTCAATATTCAGCACCTCCCTTGGAGCAACCATCTCTGCTTGCTTCAAGTACTCTCATAAGATCACTGTTCAATGCACATTCATTTCCGAACAATTTATTTTGAAAAGCCTGATAGAAACACTCAACACTGTCCAAGGCTGCAGCTTTGCAGACAGGAGAGATGCAGCACATTTCACACAGCAATTGAGGGCAAGGAAGAACAACGTACCTATCTGCTTCATCAAGGATGATTATTTTATGCCGACCTTTTGGAAGTGTGACCTTTTGCTGGGCAAACATTTTGATTTTGTTTCTCACAACATCAATGCCTCTGGAACAATAATTCAAGCGTTTCACGATGGGTGAAATTACAGAATAGATTTTATTCAGAAGCCACAAATTCTCCTGATTTTCCCACTGTTTGTTCCTGCTCCTTCAGCTGTGCCAGTAAAACTGCTGTGGAACCATGCTGTAAGCGAGACTGTCCAACTGATCCAGATTTAAACACCAATAATCTTGATTTTTGGAGGGTTTGACAAAAAGAATTTAACAATAGCAATATATATATATTTTTATACACATATATAATCACTAACCTTACTTGCAGCACTGCCCCAAAATGATTTATGTTTGCCAAAAGGTGGGGTAATAAATTATCAAAGGCAGAAGAATTTAAGATTGCTTTGCCAGTTCTTCCCACAGCTTAATCCACAACCCCAGATGTAGCTCAGAAGAGGTGAAGAAAACCAGCTGGATGGACTGTATCATATCAGCACAATAGAGACACTTCCCTAGGCAGAGTCCCTGCAAAGACTTACTTTTATAAATAAGGGATTTTAGATCTTTTTCTCCATTTAGAAAAAGGATGTTGTGACTCTATAGCTCTTCTATAACAACAGAGATAGGGAAAGTATACTGTACTCAGACAACCCTCCAGGAAATGTCCTCAGAATACTTCAGGATGGGTCTGAACAGAACTTGGGAAATATAATCAGCCCTCAGTGCCTGATCCTTGGACAAGAGTCAATGTTCTCTACGTAGCTAATACCTTGATCCTACATTTTAACCCCCAACTGCTCTTATAGCCCTAATTTCTCTCCCTTTAAGCACTGAAGAGTTTCAGTGTAAAGAACCTGTTCACTTTTCATTTTTAGGAGGATCCTCATAAATGCAGGAGGAAGCTCAACTTTGTGAAGTAGATTCAAGCAAACAGTACCACTCTGGATTCTGCACTCCACTTGTTCATATTTTTGTGTATGAAAGGACCTATCAAGTTTATAAAACATCAAGAAATAATATCTCTATTGATAGGTGGGCACCAAAAACTGCCCAACTTTTAGGAGGAAAAACTGCATTAAAATAAGTCTTAAAGACAATACTATAGCACTAAGGCTATCAAATTGGCCTGGTTTAAGAATAAATATGGGTACTTGTTTCTTCATTAAAAGTTTGACAAGTTTTAATCATTCTCACCTGTCATTTGAGGCATTCAGCTCCAGAACAGCATCTTTTAATGCAGGGCCAAGCAGAGCACGAGCCAAGCAGAGGATACTGGTGGTTTTACCTGTTCCTGGGGGGCCCTAAAAATGCGACAATGCAGCAACTTCTGGTAAGTTTAATGTCATTTTCTAAGCTGTGCTCTCTACAAATCTCCCTTACCAGTACATTCAGGCACAAAACCAGTCTGTACTGGGAGGCCATCCTGGCTAGACTTCAAATCCAGGAGCAACACAGTGAAATACAGCACAAAACAGCAATACTCACAGCAATGATAATATTTGGTACGTTCCCCTCTTTTGCAAAGACCTAAGAAAGAATAATAATAAGAAGACAGAAGAAAATAAAAGGAACAAATAGTTTCAATTCTGTTCTATTTTAAGCATCAGAAACATGCATCTTTTTTTTCCCCTCTTGCTTTCATTTTTTGAACCATGCTGCTTTTATATGTTTGGGGGTTTTTTAATTGAGGCAGCCTCTAGAATAACATGAAAAAATTTAAAAGCGCTTAATCCCACAGGTCTTTACTACACTTGCCTTTCCTTTGCATCTGTTTTAATCATATACTTGCTAGTATAATCTTTCTGTTAGCAAATACTGTGTTCACAGACTAATTTTTCATAGAATTATAGAACCCTGGAATGGCTGGAGTTGGAAGGGGCCTGGAAGCTCATCAACCTTATTGGCAGGGACACCTTCCACTAGACCAGGTTGCTCCAAGCCCTGTTCAACCTGGCCTTGAACACCATATGGAAAACATTTCTCTTCTAAAAAACCCTATGTTTTTTTCTGTTCTTATACAAATTATATTTATTCATTGAAGCAGTATTATTATAACAGCTACAAATTCTCTAAGCTGTATCAAAACAGGGCCAATTTAAACATCCCAATTGAAGAAGGCATATTCCCTTATACACCACTCAAATATTTCCTAAAACTTGTAATTTTTAAAGTAAATCAGGACGCTTTCTTCCACATGCTCAAGTATGGATGTAAAAATGCAACAGTGTTTTTACTGGCCTGTGGATCTACGCAGGACTGTGTTTTTTAGAGATAACCTGTAAAAAGACACTGGGACAGCTACACACCTCCAGCCTGCTCACAGTATCTTCATTTCCAACTATTTCGGACAGTTTCATGGGTCTGTATTTTTCCACCCTGTAAAAGTAAAACCCCACAGACTTCAGCACATCTAATATTGCTTTAATGGCGCTTTACACTGACAGAAAAGGAGGATTATGTTAGGACAGGATGACTTGATGTATCTTTCGTGCAAGTTCTGCAGGGTTCCCCTCCCTGCTAAGCAAAGCATTCCCCAACACTAATCACAGACTCACAGAATCCAGAATGGTTTGGCTTGGAAGGGACCTTAAAGATCATCCAGTTCCAAATCCCCTGCCATGGGCAGGGACACCTTCCACTAGCCCAGGTTGCTCCAAGCCCCGTCCAACCTGGCCTTGAACACTTCCAGGGATGGGGCAGCCACAGCTTCTCTGGGCAACCTGTGCCAGGGCCTCACCACCCTCAAAGGTTTTACTTTCATTACTATAAAGCAGGAAAAGGCAGGAGAAAATGCTCAATTCGAACAGGAATTCGGTGCCTCAGCCTGACACGAGGCTGAGGAGAGAAGCCTCCCTATGTGTGCTCCCTCATGGTTAACACAGGGCAGGGCTGACTTCGGACTACACAGGTAAACAACGGGATTTTGTTCACTCTTGATTTCTGGAAATGTCCAAGGCCAGGTTGGACAGGGCTTGGAGCAACCTGGTCTAGTGGAAGGTGTCCCTGCCCTGGCGGGGGGGGTTGGAACGAGATGAGCTTTAAGGTCCATTCCAACCCAAACCATTCTGTGATTTTGTGATTCCTTCTTTCTCAGTCTTGGCCACCGACCAGGCAGGTCACAGAGCCCCTATTTCTGAGTCAGACCGAGCTCCTGCACCCCGGCGGGCAGAGCGGAACGGCCCCAATCACCCCGCTCTGGCCGTGGCCGAGTCCGGCCCTCACGGCCCCCTCGGCCGAGGGTCCCTCAGTGGCGCCCGCCTTCCCGCCAACAGCGCGCCCCGCCCCGCCCTCACCCCATTGGCTACGGCGCGCCAGGCCCCGCCTCCCGCACCGCTCTGACCAATCACCACGCGTGCCCCGCCCTTCGCCCCGCCCCCTTTGACGGTCGCCCATGGCGGCGCTCATGGCGGCCGCGCTCTCCCGCCCGTGCCCCCGCTCACCAGGGCAGCTCGTAGTGGCCGCTGCCGCCGCCAGGCGCGGTCCCCGCGGGGTCGGCAGGTCCCCGCTTCTCGCCTGCCGAGGGCCCGGCCTTCTCCTCCTCCGCCACGTCCACCTCCATGGCGGCGCGGCTGGCGCGCCCGGCCCGTCTCCCCACCGCCGCCCCCGCCTCTGTGAGGGGAGGGCCGGGTCCGCCTCCGGGGCGGGACGGCGGCGGCGGTGGCGGCGGGGAGGGCATTGCGAGCGGTCTGCAGCCCGGCATGACGGCTTGGGCAGCTCCGTGAGGCGGGGAGGTGGCAGCCCGGGCCTGGGGCGGTGGGTCCGGGGCTTTATTGGGGACTGTCCCTGAGGTGACCGTGACTGGTGACTGTCGCAGCACGGCTGGGTGGGCTTGTGCTCGGCTGTTGGGGGTCTGGCTGCTCTTCCTGCCCTACTGAGTGGTTAAGATATTAAAGACAGTAATATGTCTGCATTTCAGGGGTCTAAACCTTTGTTTCTTCTGGCCTCCTCTATTTCCCCTTATAAAATAAAACCAATAAAAGATATGTCGCAAAGTACTGTTACACTGTTAAGTTGTTGTGCTGTAATGGTGGGTGGTGGATCTGGTGCTACTTATTGAACACATAAAAGGTGTACAGGTTGCCGAGAGAAGCTGTGGCTGCCCCATCCCTGGAAGTGTCCAAGGCCAGGTTGGACGGGGCTTGGAGCAACCTGGGCTAGTGGGAGGTGTCCCTGCCCATGGCAGGGGGAGAGACTGGATGATCTTTAAGGTCCCTTCCAAGCCAAACCATTCTGGATTCTTTGATTCTACATGTTCTTTCTTGGGTTAGGCTGGAAAGGTAAAAGACCTTTCCCAAAATCTTCGTTCGCGAAGACTGGCCATTATTATTAAGTAAAGGTGGCCCTCAATCAAAACCAGTGATTTTTGTCTTAATTGATAATTTTGATGACTGAGCCCATTGGTGTCCCTGCATACGACCAGCCCTTAACAGAGAACTGGGTTGTGGCATCCGTAGTGTTAGAATTTGGATACCAGTACTCATTTCAGCCTCAGTAGTTACTGGGGCCTTGGAACATCTTTCAGCTCTGCTTATGCTCCACATAGCTAATGACATTTGTGTTGGCTCAGTGAGCAGAGCATCTGTCCTTCAGTCTGGGCTCTGATTCCTTGGGAAGTGTTTCTAATTTAAGATTGGTGTGAGGCAGGAACTCGGAACTGACCATATTTGAAGCCCTGTGTGAGTGGTGACTCTCCTCTAAGGGCATTACTTCCTCTCATTTGCCACAACATTTGTATTCCAGTGTTACTGTCAGTGCCTGTTATTGGTATTTTGATGTTGGCATATGAGCATTTGCCTCCAGCCTGCAGAACTGGTTCTGCCTGTGGCCTGACAGTGATGGAGTTTGCTGAGTTTCTCCTAAGGCTCTAAAAGTCTGGAGGGTGAAGTTTCTGTTGTGCAAAGTGCAGTCTCACATCCGAGTTTTTATGTAGATGGGGTGGTCAGTGCTTCAATCTTGTTTTGCATATTGTTTTTATTAATAGCTGTAGTGGTTCTTGGTGGTTTTAGGATAAGTGTTGTGTAAGGGTGAAATTGGAAGTGGTCAGCAGCCTTCATGTGCCTGGCTGAATTAACAGTGGATTAACTTTGCCTCCACTGGAGGTAAAGTAGACAATTAAATAACACAAGTATGTGGCATATGAGGGCAAGAGTTGGCGGGTTTTTTGGGTATTCAGACTGTTTGTTCCTGTAATAATCAAACTCACTCTGTTACTCTTGTGTCTGGATTTAACTTTGTGCAGTGCTCAGCAGAACCCAACATGAGTCAGTGAAATACTGCAGCACTGCTGGTTGTTACAGTCTGTCAGTGCAGCACCCTGGACATGCTTTGGTTTCTTGCCAAATTAAACAGTACTTCTGCTCTTGGGAAGTACCAGCTTCTAGATAAGATATCATTTTCCTGGCCAGCATTAATTCTTCCACTCTATGTGTAGGGATTGCTGCTGATAAGCACCCAAAGGACACCAGAACTGTTGCAGGGAGCCTGATGACAGATTTTGTGATACGTTTCTGCTAATAATTGAAATAAATGTGCTTTGGAGCGTGGCCTAAATGCTGCAGCCCCTGTGTAGGCAGGAGCTTCTCACAGTGGTTTATCAAGCACAGAACAAGTATTTATTGAAGGCACAACAATATTCACGGGGATGTGTGGCACGTGGACAGGCAGATGTGAGCTGAAAGTTTTAAAGCCCATCATGCCCCAAAATCTAAACTGTTTTTATTCTAGTCCATCTGTTGAGATCATAGGATACCTCCAAGGCAAAATGAATTCCAAATTCAGTGCTGAAATAGCAGAACTTTTGATGTGTCTTCAGCAGTGCCCAAATTCACATGCATGGAGATGTACTCTATTATCCTGAGAGGAGAATTACCCTGAAAGGAGAATAATCCTGAATTTAAGATTATTCTTTCTGGCCTCTCTCCCTGCCACCCCAAAAGATATATAGAAAAGGCCTGTAATCAGTATAAAGTACAGGGAAAGGCTTTTTGCTAATGGTTTAGTCAGCAGGTATTCAAACAGCATCTACTACTAGTAGTGGGGATACCCATCAGAGACATAAATCATGATCTTGTGGTTGTCCCAGCAGCAGGGAATTCCCATCTGCAGCTGCTTGGTGGGAACAGGTGCTTTAAAGATAGTAGAAAGGCTCTTCTCAGACCAGCTCCAGTTAACTAAAGCCCAATGCAACTGGTTTCATCAGGGGGTTGGGTAAATGCAGAAGTTGTGGCAGGAGAATTGCTGTTTTGCATGCTATGGTTGGTGAAAGTGAGGGTGGTTTGTTTGGAGCTTGAACAACAAGTTGAAATTAGTGAAGACACTAAAAGTGAGGCAGTAGTTGAAGACAGTGAAGAGCAACAGCAAGGAAATTATGGTGGGGGATGTGAATTGGAAAACCCAGAAGGCAATAGAAATAAAGCATGAGAGGAAACAACTTTAGGCAATAGTTAGAGAAAAGTATGGATCTGTATAACCAGTAATAAAAAATCCTTACATAGAATGGTTTGAGGAGGGAGGGGACAGCTGTTTAGTATCCAAGGTCATTTTGCTTTTGGGTTAAATCTGTGAGTTCAGTTTACCATTATGGTCAGGGCTAACACTACTGCGTGTTACCCTGCAGGTCTGGGAGGCCGGGGCTGAGATCTTAAACTGCAGTGTTAAGAGAAGTGCAGAGTTCCTTGGGCTGTCCATCCCCAGCCCCACAGCCACAGTTCAAGCTGTCCCCTCCTCTGCTGCTGTTCCACAGCCACAAGTAGGTCACACAGCACAGATGGCCTCGCTGGCAGGGACGTGTGGAGTCTGCAGTCTCCTCGGAGGCTGTGCCCTCTCCCTTTCACACAGTTAGGCTGGAGACAGTGCAATGAATTCTGATGCTACCAACCATTTTATCTTGTGTTCACTGAGGCTGAAAGCAGAGAGTAGAGCTGGTACAAATAGCAGGAGTGAAAGTAATGATGGGGCTGTTGGGAGGGAGGCTGGGCTGGTGCTTCATGAAATAGGGCATCACCGTATTAGGAGGTTTCCTGGGCTTGACGTGTCTGCACCCAGACTGACAGGGGCCCTGATTGCTGCAGAGCTGCTGGGCTTGAGCTCTAGAGCACAACCAGGATGATGCTGTCAGTATATGCAGGTATTAATTTGTCCTTGCTTTTGTAGCATCACAGCACCCCTCCACTCTTCATGTGGTTATCCACAGAATGGCTCTGGGAGGTACAGTTGTGATCTAATGTCATGGGGCACATTTAAAATTTCTTCCTAAGTATAACAGCTGAGGTCCCACATTCCACCAGCACACTCCCATCTCCCTGTTTATTTTCCCATCCTCTGCCTCATCCTTCCTCTCTCGTGAGCATCTCGAGTACCTGCAGAGCAACAGCAGCTCCCCAGAACAATCTGGGTAGATACACCTGCCCACCCTGTTACCTGAGCACTTCTATTTATCCCATCTCATTGCTTTTTACATGTTCATTAATTACTTTAATTCTTTTTCTAATGCTGCCACGCGAAATTGTAAGCAGCATAACACCTTCATCTGCAGGTAGGAAATTCATACTGCTAGAAGTGAGGCAAGGCACAGGCCATGGTGACAGAGGAGCTGGAAAGATCAAGTTCAGCTTATTGCTACCAGGAGACTCTAAAGTTGCAGAAAATTCTTTTCTATAATCATCTGAAGAAAGAGTAGATTTAGATCACTGCCATTTTTAAGCTGGAGAAGCTTTATTATGATTTTTATGCACGTGTTGAGGAACAAATTACAATTTTTCTAGTGCTTAACACTAGGTCACAAGAAAAGCATTCAGCAGCAGAGCCCTGCTCCTTTGCCCTCTGGATGCTTCAGACTAAAAATATGATGGAAATTTCCTTTCTTTTTCTTCTTTAAGCACATAATAGAGAGCGACGAGTGTCCAGCCCAAGCCCAGCCGCGCGGTTACAGCTTCAGTCAGTAGAGGGAGTACGGACACCTGGATTAAAGCCGCGCAGGGTCACCCGTGACAGCCAAGGGAAACGACTTTCTCCTGGAATTCCTCTTTTGTCTGCAAAACCAGGTAAGTTCTCTGTGCGTGCGCTCTCCTAGATGTCAAAACGCAGTTGTTGGCTCCTAACGCTGGAAGTGTGGGAGAGGGGAATGATCCTTTTTTCCTCTTCTCCCTGTGCAGTGTCCCTGTGGCCACTTGGCTGTTCGCACCTGCAGATGGGGTTGGCGGCGAGCAGCACCTTTTCTCCTCCGTGTCAGGATCCTGTGTCACCTTTAGGGACTGGAGCAGGGTTCTGTTGGGCTCCAGGGAGGACGTGGCTCCCCCTCTTCACTAAGGAAGCGACTCTGTGCGTGACTTATTGCCAAATGTGGATGTTGCAAAGAGCATCCCGCAGAGCAAGTGCCTGGCTGGGACTCCCTTGTGTAAGAGGAAGGATCTTGATGAAGAAGAAGGAACCTGATGGCTCTCTGAGCCTTCTGCTTGAGGACTCAGCCCCGAGCTGAATTTAGAGTCTGGCTGGAGTGCTTGTGATAGAGGAAGAGAGAAAAATCTGGCAAAAATAAAAATGTGGCTGTTTTCTTCAGACCTCTGTGTGTGCAGGTGAATTTTACTCCAAATATTTGGTGTGGCTTTGCCTAGATGTGAAATGAAAAACAAGACTTTTAAGGTTTGTTTTAGTGGCTGCATATCGGTTTGGGATTGAAATGATGACTTGGTATGGTAAGTCTAGAGCCAAATACCA